AGGTGGGTGGCAAATTGGCTTAGGAGTCACACCCAGAAAGTGGTGGTGGATGAGTCGGTATTGACCTGGAAAGATGTGGGCAGTGGAGTCCCACAGGGTAAGTCTTTGGACCTGTGCTATCCAATGTCTTCATCAGTGACTTGGATGAGGACATGAAAAGCACTCTGTCCCAATTTGCTGATTATACCAAATTATGGGGTGAAGTTAACACACTAGAGGGTAGGGAATGAATCCAGGTGGATCTGAACAGGTTGGAAAAGTGGACGGAACAGAACAGGATACAGTTCAACAAGGACATGTTCAAGGTGCTGCACCTAGGGAGAAGGAATCACCAGCAGGCTTACAGGCTGGGAGAGGACCTTCTCAGCAGCACAGCAGCAGAAAGGGATCTCAGAGTCATTATCGACACCAAGACGAACATGAGTCGTCAATGTGACGAAGTGATCCATAAAGCTAACTGCACTTTATCATGTATTAGCAGGTGCATTACAAACAGGTCCAGGGTGGCGATACTTTCCCTCTATGTGACATTGGTCAGGCCACAGTTGGAGTACTGTGTCCAGTTTTGGGCACCAAACTTCAAGAGGAATGTGGACAACCTTGAGAGTGTACACAGGAAAGCCACTCGTATGGTTAGGGGCCTGCAGGCAAAGCTCTATGAGGAGAGATTGAGGGCCCTGGATCTCTTCAGCTTCCACAAGAGAAGGCTGAGAGGTGATCTTGTGGCCGCCTACAAATTCATCAGTAAGGAGGGAAGGAGGAGGCAGCAAGGAATAGAAGATGCTGTTTACCCAGGCACCCCTTGGAGTAACTAGGAACAATGGTCACAAACTGATGGAGAGCAGATTTAGGTTAGACATCAGGAAGAACGTTTTTACGGTGAGGGTTGCCAAAATCTGGAATGGGCTTCCAAGGAAGGTGGTGCTCTCCCCTACTTTGGGGGTCTTTAAGAGAAGGCTGGACATGCATCTGGCTGGGGTCATCTGACCCCAGTGCTCTTTCCTGCCCAGGGCAGGGGATCAGACTTGATCTGCTGAGGTCCCTTCCAACCCAAACATCTATGAATTTATGAAAATCACTCCACTGTAGTGTGTAGTTATGTTATGAAATAACCTTTAATTATGAGATGATATGCTACATTTTATTCATGAGCCCTGCCTCACTCAGTACATGAGAGAGAGAGTGAATCTATAGTGAAACAGGCTGAGGTCTACAGACCTCCTCTATCATTCACTTTCTACAGAAAATAAAAGGTGTTTGCAAATGAGGGAAGGGGAAGTAAAAACATGGTAGGGTTTAGTCAGGAAACTGGGACTCAAAAGCATGCTCTCTAGCCACAGACAGACATGACAAGTAATATTTGTTAAGCCACTCTGGTAAGACTTTGTAGGAGATGCAGAAGCTGAGTGCCTTTGAAAGCTAAGACCTTAGGTATTTTAAAGTGAAAATCAATAAAATTAGAAAAACACCATTAGCAACCAGCTCTGAGAGTTCTGAGTCACCCAACATCACACAGAAAACAATAGCATCCTTTTCCCCCCAAATCTTACCTGAAATCCAAAGAGTTTTTCTTTAAGTTCTTTGGTAATGAAGTGAAGCATTGCAAATCCATTCTCTTAAGACTGACAATACTCTTACAGAAGTGATTCTTATGGAATGATTCTTACCATCTTAGAGGTAGAACTGCAGACCTCCTACAATACTACTCCATCAAACTCAAGTTTCTGGTGTATGGGAAACTTGCAGGAAATCTTCTAAACTAGATTTCAGTATCCACTATCCTATTTATTTGAATATATTGTATACAAAAGACTGAAAACAAAATTATACTGTAAAAAAAGAAATTAGTTTAGAATGTTTTACTGCTGGATCTCCACCTTCATCTGCAAAAAGAGAAGCATGAACAGAAAGCTGGATCTCCACCTTCATCTGCAAAAACAGAAGCCACGGAAAGCATGACACATATTGTTTTATATTCTATCACCTTCACACCTTGTCTCTGCTCATAGTTTGACAAAAGGAACATCGGCTAGGAACAGAGGTTGCATTTGTACTAGGGTAAGTTGTGCTTGCGTTTCTCCTGAACAAAAATATGGTGTACATACATCACTCTCCTGATCATGGTTTAGTGACTGGTTGAATGCAGTGCTTTTTTTCTGCCATTGATTCAGTGAAGTAATACTGGGATAACTGTGAAGATATACTTTGCTATATCCCAGAATAAGTCACTATGGGCACGTCTACACAAGACACTATGTCACCGTAGCAACAAGCTATGGTGAGGGAGGATGTTCGTATGGCAACATAGCAGCTAAAAAAAAAACCGTGCGCCACCAGCACAGCACAGTACAGGCTGTTACTGCACCATCATTTAGTACTTGCAAAAGGCTGTACTAAATGATGGTGCAGTAACAACAGCGCCATAAGGGTACATGTAGACGTGGAGTACTACTTCTTATCCATGTCAGAACCAAGAAGTTGTATGCCTATGGCACAGTGGAAAATTCCATTGTTTTGATACATGTGAAGTTCCCTGCTGTCAATCACTTTGAATAACTAGGTCACAGCAAAAAATAGGTCACTGTAGGAAAATTCCGCTATGTAACTATATGCCACAGCAATGGAAAGTTGCAGCCTTAGAAAAAGTTCCCGCCATTCGGATGCAAATTCGCACACACTCATTGGCCAGTTCTAAATTATTCATTGTAGTGACTAGCGATTGGCTTGCTAGCCATATAAAAGGAAAAGCAGTTTTCGCCCAGGTTTGGAGAACTCAGAGAACTGAGAGAACTTGCAGAACTCCTTATATCTCTCCAGCTTAGCACGTTGGGAGAGCTCCGCATATCTTTCCAGCTTGGAGAACTCTGTCTCCACGTCGGAGAATTCCGCATACCTCGGAGTAGGGGAATTAACCCGGCGCACTCCGAACGTATCTCAGAGTGAACCTGGATTGATTACACCTCGGAGAAGGAGGACTCAGAGAGTTTGGAGAACTAGCAATCCTCCGCACATATCTCAGAGTAAACCTGGCGGACTGATCACCCACCAGCGACTCCCCGTCACACGACCCTCCTGACGTACCCCGACCCCGATACTGCAGTAAGCCAATTACAGGAACTTCGTCGGTCCTCTCGCGTGTTTAAGAGAGTCTTTGTAACTGTAACTGCAATTAAGCCAGTCAACTCTGCCTGCGCCCATACATCAGTGGCGTAAGTAAACAATCTATTTGTTACCAATACGTTTCCGTGCCTAGTTCCTCTACATCTGTCAAAAAGTACCCACCTGCCGTTTCAGGCAACTGGCCAGAGCCCCGGCCTGCCACCTCGGCCGCCACAATCCAGGATTTATGATTTATCCCAGGACAAAGGATGTGAATGTCTATATGCTTGCACTTTTTCCACAGGATAAAATGGTTTATCCCAGATACATGTGACATCTTTTGCAGCCACTAGTGTATTATGAGGAGATCCATTATGAGCACGTAGCTCTAATTTTTCTCTTACAGATAGGTACAGATTTATTATGAAAAAACTACTCTTAGAAGCGACTCCTACTAGTGCTATCATGTAAAACATTCCTAACAAAAAATGCCTGATTATCCATTGCATGGATGATCCCTGCCTGCCCCCTTTACCTTAGGAGGCCATGCTGGGCCAGGATCTGGCCATGCCCCCTCCCCTGCTCCTGCCAGAGAGCAGAGGGGTGGGGCCAGCCCTGCTATCTGGAGCAGAGAGCACAGCCCAGCCCAGAGCTGCAGAGAATGCTGGGGGACTCTGATTTAACTTAAACCAGGAAGGGGTCTGGGACAGAATTCCTTAAACCAGTTTGACCTCAATCAGTTAAGTCTGATACTACATTTTCTAAATCAGTGTAAACTCATTAAATTAATCCCCCTTTAAATTTTTATTTATTATGAGAATGTGAAACAAGACTCCAGCAGAAGTTTCAGAAAAATAGTTTTAAAAACTTCTGTGATAATTTTGTTAAAAATGTTATTTTCTTTCTTCTTGAAGCAAAAATATACAGGTAAAATATACATTATAAAATTATTTTTTCCCATGCTATGTTGGGCTCAGCGCAATTCTGGGTTCAAAAGTTTAACATGTGAAGCATTCAGCTACTTTAACCACGGCACAGGGAGGTGTTTTGATGATCTCCCCTTTCCTCAAGTTTTTTTAGTTTTATAGTTAAAATGTTCAAGTGAGCTACAGCACATACCCACTTGTACTTATTGCATTTTCCCTATGCACAATCATTACCTTGAAGCTTTGTAAATATATAACAAGCCTGACTGTATTAAGCAATTCTTCTTTTTCTCAAGACAACTTGAAATTGTAGTATTCAGAAACATGTGTGGTACATAAATACAAATCCGACATGCATCAGGACCTGATTAAAACCCAGTTATTAGCTGGCAGCTATTGGGTACACAAATTCTGACTTTTGTCTGGTATTTTTACATTGCTCAGTCATTTGGCCTCTCTGAACAGACTGCTGTTATTCCATGAGACAGAAAGTGTTATATATGTTGCAGAAGAGATACAGACTGGTCTCTCATGAAGATTTAATTTTTTTCTCACTGTATAGTTCCCTTAATTTAAAATGAAACATACAGACATGAAAAATATGGCTGCTCTTTATAGTTACTATAGTAGTGATTAATAAACCTTCTTACCGTCTGTTGTTGCCATAATACACCCATGAAAGCAAAAGGGAGGGTGAAGTCATTGAAGTGAACTGTTTATTTCACTACATTTTAATAGCTAAAATATGAAACCTTATACAAAAAGTTAATTTTACACTTCTTATTGCCCAACACTAACATAAAAAGAGCCCAAATTAACTGACGGAGACAGAGCATGTCTCTTCAAGAGTCTGATTCCATTAGGTACTGATATCTTCAACTCTCAGTGAAATGAAAAAGATCACCTGCTAGTTTGCAATCAAGGCCCATTCTTGCCTTTTCAAACAGTTTAAAACAATGGTATTCTTGTGTTTCTTTAAAAAAATAGCAAGTGGGAGAATTAGGTAGGTATTTGACAGAACATGCCCAAGTGTATTGCGCAACATGGTAGAGGACAGTAAGGGGAAGTCAGATAACATAAATACAGAATTTATTTTCATGCTGGAACCATGCTGAGTTTATTTCTTTAATTTCCTCCTTCCTTCTGATAGTCTCTCACTTCCCAGCCATCTGAAAAGCAAAACAAACAGACCATCCCTTTATGAAGGTTTGACATGATTTCTTAATCACATCTTTCCAGTAACCCTTGATTCAGCTTTTACAAGGCAATTGGTGATGGCCAAAATCCAGTTGGAACCCATTAACTAAGCAGAGTGAGCCATAGGACCCAATTCTGGGACATGTGATTCAGAGCCTGAAGCCCCTTTCAGATCACATCTGGTAGGAGTTTCTGTGAAAGCAAGAATTTCTTCAACAGAGGGAAAAAAAAATCCTTGTGGGTAAAGCCAACCAGTATTAACCTAGGCCAGTGGTTCCCAGCCTTTCCTGCTGCGACCCTAAATCAGGACCCCCTGACCCAAAGCCAACCCTAGGGAGGTGTGGGGCCTGGGGCAAATCAGCCAATGCAGGGCCCCCTTAACACCGTGCAGGGCCCCATGCCTGGAATTTCCAGCCGGAAGAAATGTAAAGAAACCTTCATCCTGCAGGGCGGGAGGGACCACAGCCACTCCACCTGGCTCTGCAGGGCCAACACAACCCTAATTTGGGTTGCACCCCAATGTTGGGAACTACTGCCCTAGGCCAAGTGCTGATAAGTGGTTTTTGGACAGTCTGACTGGAAAAAAAAAGTATGAAAAAACAGAGTTGCACCTTGTAGACTAACTAAATAAGAGCTGCATAAGCTTTTGTATGCAACCGTGCAAGTCCACCCTGCCTTCTCCCCAGTTTCAGACTAACACTGCTAACTGCCTCTCTGTGGAAAAAAAAAATGTTTTGTTAACTATGGTGAGACAAAGATGTACTCCCATGTTTAGCTGATATAAAAATCTTCCCTCATGAGGGATCTTACTGGTTCCAGGACATGTTTTTAGTAGATCCTAATTGATCACCTTGGGATATGTTATAAGAATAATATGCCTGCTTTCTGTATACAAATAAGCAAGAACAGACACAATTAAGCACTGGTATTTTAAATTTCCTTTCCTGGTCATCCTTAATGCATGTTATAACCAATGGGGAAAGCTTGTGGCTACTAAATGGGGGACGGCTACATTTAAAAAAAGGCATTATTCCAAGGCTGATGCAAGTGAATAGGGAGAACCCGGACAGGTTTAGAACATGACTAGGCAGAACTAGGTGTTTTGCAAGGGCAGGTTATGGGTGAGCAGCAAGCCCGGCAATTTGTTTTTTTTTAAGGAACATTTTTCATGTTTCAAATCAGATCAGCCAAATTGAGTCCAAATCCATAAGTCACTCAAGAACCAAATTTGGCCCTACTACCAGCAAACATCCTCCACCCCTGCCTGGGGCTTCAGATGCTTCCAAATCCTTTGGCGGGCATCCTACATACAGGGCCAAGCCCAGAAGCTTGGGGTTTGGAGGCCCCAAGTTTTGCTTGCCCAGGAGTGAGCTAGGGAGAAGTCTCCTATTTACATAAAGTCCGCTAAGATCCTCCCACTGGAAGCTGGCCAGTGGGCATGAGGTTCTCGCAGGGAGCCCTGTCCACAAGCAGACAAGGGTGCAACTCTCCACTACACAGTGCCATTTTAATTGCAATACCTCTGTCAGAGTATTTCCCCTGCCACCATCATGGTCCTAGTACCTCCCTTGCCAGGTTGGAAAGTAACCTGCAGGTAGCACAGGCTGCCCAGCTGTCCTAGGAGGTGCTGGGACAAGTGACCAACAAAAAGCAAGTGATCTCTGAAAAGTGTCAGCAATTGCAAGAGATAGCAAAGAAACTGGAGGATGTCCCCCAGACAAGGGATGCAGAAGAACCCGAGCTGAAAAGGGCAGTCTCCCATGCTCATTACAGAGAGGTAGTTAATCATGTTAGTCTGAAGTCAGGCAGAAGGCAGGCTAGAGGTGCACACTGCAAAGCAACTACAGCAAAACTGCAAGCTCAACTGCACTTCTGGTGAGATGAAACCCTACTGTGAGTGGTGAAGCCCTTCTTTCTCCTCCTCCTGCATAGTACTGGTCTCAGTAAAAAGAAAAATAAATGCAGCATCCTTCTCCAGGAAGTCTGGAGAAAGTAGCTGCTGAGGTATTAGTCACAGAAACCACTGAACTCACCCCAGAATAAGTCAGAGAAATAGTCCAGTGTCTGTGACCCCTACACTGGGCTAATATTTTGACTTGGCTCCCAAATTGGAAGTTAACGTGAGACGGTGAATGAATCGGGATTTTTGCTTGGTGCTCAATGCAGCCAGGTCCCACGATCTAAATTCAACCCTCACTTCCCATATTGAAAACTTAGAGAAGCAGTAGATTATAAAGCATATACTGTAGCCAAATATAGTGTAGCCACCATAGCCCTAGCAAAAGCTTTACTTGGGGTTGTGCATTAAGATTGTGCGAAGCTTTGAGTGGTGATTTAATTCAGAGTGTCTTCCCCACCCACCTCAGCTCTCACCCTTTAAGGAAAAAACAAAACAAAAAACCCTGGGACTCACCAGCTCCTGCAGTGGCCTCAGGACTTTGGGCAGGGTCATGCAGAGCCTCCCACATGGTGCGGGGCAGTAGGGGGCAGCAGGGATGGCCTCCCACCAGGCAGGAACTGGTGAGACCGGGGGTGGGGTTTGTTACTTTTTCCCTTAAAGGGCCGGAGCTGGGGCAGTTGGGGCAGCCATGGAGGAGAGCTGGGACAGGGTGGTGCTCATACAGGGCCCTCCACATACCATGGGGCAGCTGGGGGCAGTGGGGATTGCCCCCTGCACGGCAGCACCCGGTGAGTCCGGGGTTGTTTTTTTTCAAAGTGCCAGGAGCTGGGGCCAGGCAGGGCAGCCATTGCTGGGGCTGGGAGAGTGGGTTGGGGATGGACCTGTGTGATTTGGAGATTCAGAGATTTGGCAGCAGCTGAATTTCTGAATCAGATTCAACCAAATCGATTCGGGACAGTGATTCGAATCACCGAATCGAATCACTGTCCCCCGAATCAGCCGAGTCCAAATCCAAAGTGAATACTAGCCACTTCGTACAGGCCTATTGGGCATCTCTACCCCAGTGCTATGAAAATAAAATAAAAAAGAGGTGTTCACACAGCTACAAATATAACTGCTAAAATTGGAAATCAAAGGGTTAGCAAAGAGGGTTTCAATCCAAGTTTCCAACCAGCAAGTTAGTTACTGGCAGGCAGAAGCAGCTGGGCTTGAAAATCTGAATGTCCACCTATGTGATAGCAAAGAAGCTGTTCAGGTAAATTAATAGAAACAAGTCAGTTAAAAGCCCAGTTATCACTGGATAGTGGAACAGTGAATGGGTTAAAGATCAGGCTGAAGAACAAGAAACTTCAGTGGACTCATAAAAAATGTACAAGGTATTTAACTATCCTTTAAGACAGGACAAGGCAAATGTTCATGTTGTTATCAGTTACCAGCAGTAAGGCCTGTGCAAAGCGGCTAGTATTCGTGACTAGTATTCCCCCCAGAGCCTGAGCCAGCTATAGAATAGTTTTCCCCAGAAGTCTTGATAGATAGGGACCCTCTAAGTCCTAGACCTGTTGCAGGGGGAACTCAGGAAAAGTTTATTAGGAATCAAAACATCAAAATCAAATGCATTCAGCAGACTCCCACAAGTTGGTCCTTTAAGCCTATAGAAATGTATTATAGTTAATAAAACAAGGTTCCTTGGGTGAATCTGCTATCTTTTATTAGACCAACTTAAATAGTTGGAAAAAAATTTCTAAGCAAGCTTTTAGGTTTAAAAACCCTTCATATCAAGCTAAGGAAACATCTGTAGTTGGTGTGTGCTCACCAACCTCAATATTATTATTACCAATATTGTTATTATTAATAGTATTATTGTTAATAATATTTAAAGGGGAAAACCAACAATTTTAATTAAACCAATCAGTAATTTAAAAGGAAAGGCTCAAATTTAACAGACAAATTCTAAACTATGTTAAGCTGGAGGACAGCTGTTTGCAAACAGTACTGGTGGTCTGAAATAGAGGACTCTTAAAAGCTGGAAGCTCTGCTCAATTGTACTGGCTTGTGTTGGTAGACTGAGATGTGTTCCTATGAGCAAAAAGAGGCGACAGCAGTAATTCCAGCTACTCAGTTTTCTCTGTGAATGCTCCACAACCAAGTGCAGCCAGAAGGAGAAAACAATGGTTCCACATTGGAAAAGAAAGGTTCAGGCTGTTTTCATTAAAAGTAAACATGAAATTAAGTTAACTATGTTTCTGTTTAGACTGTAGGATCCAACATTGATTTGCAAGAGCAACAACACATAGCTGTATTTACAGTAATTTGTGAACTTTTAAGAGCTTGAAAGATATGCCACCAGTGCTATGTTAAATAACTCTCCCCTCCTCCCCCCCACACCTTACATTGTGTTTTAGTGTAAGGAAAAATACCACGTAAGGTTTTTAAAAAGCTATATTCTAAACACATTATTATTCTTAAAACAATACACAAGCACACAGATATTTTTTTCAAAATTAAGTTCTTGGTGATTGTTCTTATATTGCTGCATGTCAACAAGATTTGTGAATACAATATAAATAGATTTACAGTTTCAGGTGTCAAAACCAAAGGCCTAAAGCAGTGGTGTTCAACCCACAGGCTGGATCCAGACCACAGCTCCGGCACTGGAGATCATCATGCATCCTCTTCCCTGCTCTGTATTGTACCACTGGTCTCCCCAGTCCTCCCTGCTCTCTCCCTCCCTCTCCCTCACCTCTACCAGAGGGAAATGATGGCCCACAGTGCTGCAGGGCTGCATGCACCCAGCCCACCACTAAAAGGTTGAGCTCCACTGGACTAAAGGATTCATAGATGGCTGACTGACACCCTTGCCAGGCATCTCAGTAGATGGTAAAATAGCTTACTTAAACTCACTGTACTCTGTGGCCTAATTGTTTATTGCCACCTTTCAGGAGAGAAGAGAAGCAGGCAGTGATAGTATGAGGAGTGTGTGTTTTCTTTGTACAGAGTATTATTGAGACTTACTGAAGCCCTGTCTCCAGATGTCGAAGGCTTCTGGAAAAGGTTCAGAAAAGAACTACAAGAATAATTTAAAATTTGGAACATCTACTTATAAAATTCATCTTGGTAAATGTCTCATTATTTGTATTATCCAAAATAGGTGACTGAGTCTTTCAGGACAAACTTTGTCCCACCTATTTTATCTTTCCTGCCCTGTGGCTCAGCCTATGCCCACCTCACACTGGGAAGCAGCAGGGCTGACTGAGCCTGCTATCAGCCCAGGGATGCTCTGCCCCGGCTCAAACTGCTGTGGTCCCAGGTGCACGTGTAGACCCTGAGCCCAGGAGCCATTAACTGCACAAGAGTTTATCGTGCCACACTAATAGAACGCGTAGATGCACCCAAAGAGGATTAAATAAATGTACCATGGATCTTCTTTATCCACAGAACAGGCACAATTTAGCATCAGAGTTAGCTCTCTCAGAGCACCCTAATAATATTCCCTAACCCTTCCCTTGCAGGCAATTTTCTTGACGAGCTCTCATTTTTATTTAAAGATTTCCTAATTGTAAAGGCAACTGTATACTAGAGGAGAAAGCCAGCAGGTCTGCTATGGACAAGGAGTGGGCAAGGCTGAAGTGCTCAAGTGCAAGGTGGTGAATGCAAATAAATGCGTATAGCAAACAATTGTATGGTTACATGTTACTCCTACTTCTAGTCAAGGAGCATGACAGCGTGCGTCTCTGGGCTTCACTTAGAAGAAACAGAGCAGGGACAGCTGCCGATACAGCTGCGAATCTGATGGCTCTAGGCCAGTAGCCAGCTGTTCAGTGTAGTAGGTATGTTAACATATCATTCTGGCTGGCCCATGGCCTGCAGTGCCTGCTCCTTCTGGTTTACTTACTGGTAACAAAAACACCTGGGTCAGCAGCCCTGCTACTGGCTCACTGCTGCCATCCTACAACCTTAGTCTGTAACATGAAAGAGGAAAGCTCCTAAAATCAGTTATTTTTGTTATCCAAAGCCTGCCTATGCAGTCATATCATGAACTAGAATAAAGCCCTGCCCTTTGCTTCTGTGTATTTTCTGTTTGTTTAGTTTAGTTTTTATTGCATCTCTCCTCTTAAGCAACAGCCCTTGCTAACAGCCATCCCCACCGCAACCCATCCTTGCACCAAAGTTTTCTGGCTCTGCCCTAGTTCTCCTGCCTTTACTTGATGCCTTATTTGGGTCTGTTTATCCAAGGTGACCAGGTGTTATACATCTCTTAGGACACCCATGAATTCAGCTACTCTGTCACAACTGCCTGCAGCACAGTTGAAAGGTCTCACATCCACCTCAGGAAGGGTTCTGGAGCATTTTCTCCTAGCCATTAGCAGACCCAGTGATACATGGCTTCATGTAGGCAAATGAACCCAGTGATTCTCTGTCCTATCTTTGTGCTGGTACCAAAACAAACTACAGTGTCCAGTGAACAAACAGACTAAGGATGGAGAGCAAATGCGGCAGAATCTAGAAGGCTAGTGAACAAAAATCTACAATCAAAACATGGCCCAGCTTCCACTGCCCCACGCTCACCTTTGCCCAGACCCTCTCTACCCACCAATCCCTCTTCTAGACTTCTTCCAAAACCCTGGTCCCCATGGACTTTCCCATTACTATCAGTTGCCACCGTTCCTCCCAGCCACCAAGGCTTTTTTTTTTTTTGTCTCATGTTAGAAAAAGACTAGAGCACCATCTTATGAGCCCTTGCTACAGTGACTGCATGGAGTGAATAGAAGAACAATGACTTTTTTTGTACCAGCATGAAGCAGCACATGTGGATCTGCAGAAAAAAAAAAATCAATGGGAGGGGGAAAAAAATGAATCAACTTGTTAATCTGTCAGCTGCTCTCCCAAACTTCACATCTGTAGCATGCAAGCCAGTAAGGCTGTGCGAAGCAGGCCCTATTCGATTCTGATTCAGATTCGGCCCGAATCAGGGACAGTGATTTGATTAATTGATTCAGATCACTGTCCCTTATTCAATTTGGCCAAATCTGAATCTAAAGATTCAATGCTGATTCGGAGAATCAGCGATTCAGACATAGACACAGCTTTAAAAGTTTTTTCTACATACCTTGAGATAGCAGATTCTTGTGAACACTGGGATGCTGGGGCACATGGAGCATCCCACGGGGGGGGCTCCATGTGCTCAGCTGCGAACCCAGAAGTGGACTGGAAGATCTTCTGGTTCACGTCCAGGTCTGCCGAGGAGCACACTGGGGGGGGGCCTCCATGCCTCCCTAGACCCCTGTGCCTCCTCGGTTCAGTGATTGGCTACAGGGGGACCCCAGGTGCCCCCCCCAGAGGGGGGAGGCCAGCACACTCCCCAGTGGACTGGAAGTGCTTCTGGTCCACTTCCGAGTCTGCTGCCGAGAGTGCTGAGGAGCCTCCCATGCTCCTGTGGGAAGCTCCATGCTCCCCAGCATTGCAGCATTCACGAACCACTGCTACCTAGAGGTATGTAGGAAAAACATTTAAAGCTGTGTCTATGTCCGAACCTCTCCAAATCAATTCAGAGAGATTAAAGGGTCCTCTGATTCGATTCAGATTTGGAGATTCAGCCACCAAATTGGGCCGAATCTCCTCCGAATAGAATCAGGGACCAAAGCTTCACACAGCCCTACAAGCTGGTCTGACTGGTTTGAGCTCAAAGGATTTATATGAAATCCCACATTTCCTGGGACCCATCCACAGGGCACATTGTGCATCCAGATTCAACGTCAGTATCAGGGAGAAGAAAGAAAACAAATACCCTCTTTCAGCATATTTTTGGGTTTAGCCATTGATTTTTAGTCAGCAGCTGTGCCTACAGGCAAGCTTTACATGCAAACAGACTGATGAGCACAGGAGGCGCAAGCCACTTCAGGCTAACCGAAAGTTTGCCATATAACTTGCATACAAGACAGTCTCTCAGTGCACTTAACTGGCATTCACCAGAGCCCTCAGGCTAGGAGGGCCAATTCTAGAGCAAGCTGTGCTACAACAGTACTATAAAGCAGAGCTTTCAGGAGCAGCAGAGTGCCTATTGCAGTGTTAGCTGCTCAGCAATGGTACTGTAAGGTAGAACCCAGTGTAGGAGACTGTTGCTTACAAATGGTTTTTAAAGGTTTGCTTTGGGGAATTGGCTACATACACATACATAGAGAGAGAGAGAGCGCCGTAGTATATACATATGGTCTGTGTGAAGTGGAAAGTGTTTGCTTCGGATTCGGCCAAATCCAAATCCTAATATATTTGGCCATAGACTATACAGGCAGGTAGTGCCAGCATGAGCAGCTGGGGGAGCAGCTGGATGAGTCCAGGCTTGAGCTGGCAGTCCCAAGAGAAGCCGTGGCTTGTCTGGCTGCTCCCCAACCGGGGCAAGGCAAGCAGTGCTGGCAGCCCCAGGAGAAGCTGCAGGAGCTGAGGGGAAGCCCCTGTTCATTCCCCCAGCCCCCATCATTCTCCCCAGGTCCCCAATCATTTCCCAAGCTCCACAGTCATTCCCCCCAGCCCCTGCAGCTTCTCCTGGGACTGCCAACTCAAGCCAGGGGTTGTCTGGCTGCTTCCCCAGCTGCTTCCACCAGCACTGCCTAGTGCTTGCCTGTACAGTCTATGGCCGAATCTCTGAATGTCTCTGAATCAATTCGGAGAGATTAAAGGGCCTCCCAATTTGATTTGGAGATTTGGCCACTGAATCTCCTCCAAATCAAATCAGCTACCAAAACTTCACACAGCCTATACATATATATATATACATATACATATACATATACATATACATATACATAAGAACGGTTCAAGATGGGCAGCAGGGTTAATTGATTTCTAAGAGTCTGGGTCACACAGTCTCTCCAGCCCTGGAAGCAGAGGGAATATGTACTACACTGCCCATAACGTGAGAGAAAGTGGCACCAGCTAACAAGGCCCCAGAGCAGGGGTACCTGAGTCCTGGTTTTGGGGGAACAGACCAAATTAGGAGAAGTCCTGGAAAGCTATGAGGACATGTGACCACAGAAAGAGAGATCAACCAATGATAGCCATGGATGAAGAGTCATCAGGAGTCACCAGGGGGAAAGAGAATATAAAAGCAGAGACTTGAGTAACAAAGGGTCCCTTTCTCCCTCCTTGTCCACCCCCGTCCCTCCTTACTGTCCTACCTGGGGTCCCTCCTCCCTCGTTCCTCCTCATCCTCTTCCCTGAGAGGGTCCCCATCCCTGTCTCCCAGGAAGGGTCCTGAGGCCACCATGGACAAAGGGCACACCACCAGCCCGTCTCATACACCCCACTGGAGTAGGAGTGTGGGCTCAGCATCCCACCTCCAGGCTGCTGATGTGCTGATATCTGACACCCAAGAAATACTACAGTGGCTAGCCAGCAGTAGCAGGCTGCCCTGGAGAACAGGGGACTTCACAAATGATGAAATAAATACAAATCCACTGGTTTTAAAGAAATATTATTGCAATTAAAAATTTCAGGAATAGACAATTTACTTCTTGACCTGAATACTTTTAGAGTATAGGAGGATTTTAATTTAAAATAATCCTTGTCTATCTCTAGTGTGTTATGGCTAGCCAGCAGTAGCAGGCTGCCCTGGAGAACAGGGGACTTCACAAATGATGAAATAAATACAAATCCACTGGTTTTAAAGAAATATTATTGCAATTAAAAATTTCAGGAATAGACAATTTACTTCTTGACCTGAATACTTTTAGAGTATAGGAGGATTTTAATTTAAAATAATCCTTGTCTATCTCTAGTGTGTTATGATTTATTTTGTGTAAATGATACACAAGTTTCAATTTATTTCATCTTAAAACATAGTATTTAGGTTGCACCTTTTGATTTGCACAAATGAAATATTAAAAGGAAAATCTTATAACCTATTGGAAAGCCTCAAACAAGGAGAACTCTTCAAATAGCTCTCATTTACCAACTTATCTCCTTGCTATTTTCAAACAATTAAGAAAACAATGGTTGCACTTACACAGGTCAATGGCTCAGAGTTGAACTTGTCACATTTTATCTTGAACTCTTCTGGTGGATACTTCTTGGTTGTACCTGTTCATAACATGGCAATGAGATTGATCAGTTTGATAGAGTTTAACATTTTTTGTAACAGCTTTTCCTTTAAATCTAAAACATTCTTCTTACATAAGTGAATTAATTTATGTTATAGGGATATTAGGTACACTGAAAATAGCAAAATGAACTTAAATGGTCTGGTTCTACACCCTGAAATCATTATCAAGATTCCCACTAAACTAAATGGATAAAAGAATAAGACCTCTATGCTTAAGTTCTAAAAACTGAATGTGGAGACACTGGTTGCTGATTTTGCTTTGTGTATTATTCTGTCCATATTGAAAACGAAAATAACTATTGAAAATGAAAACTGCAAAATCACGTCTTTGTTTTCCTTTGTCCTGGGCTCTGTATGCAACAAAGCACCGAGGTTATTCCACATTATGGGTATACAATATATACGTTTAGTTACCCAATGACAGATTTACATTTGCAAAAGGCTATGAAACATGTTATATTACTTTGCTATGTAAACAAAAAGGCAGCTAAATAAATTAGGCACCACGCTCCCATTGATCTCTAGTGGAATTAGGGCATTTTTGAAAACTCTAATTTTCATGCTGTCCGTAACTGTTACATGTGCACATTTCTGCTTGATAGTACAACTCTCTACCATAACCTCCATAATGTGGTAGAGTGGCTGTGTCAGTAGCATAGACTGCCACCCTCCCAGACACTAAAACCCAAATCCTAGGACCGACTGAGCATGGAAGGCTCACTGGATGGCCAAGAACAGGACTATGAAATAACAACTTACCCCTGAGGAGATGTACAAATGCTTTCATGAACTTCTCCGCATAGTCAAGCTCAGGTTTGTGAGTTCTACCGAGCTGAACCAAATGCTGTTCCAAGGGAATGCTAGTGAGCTCTTCCACTTCTTTGGCATTATGAAACTGTCCTAATGAAATTACAAACACAGCATATCCTTGGCACTTGGCTCTCACAGATGCCTTCTTTAATATTTCCCTGTCCCATGGACTTGTTTCTCCAGCAGATATAACAATAATAACCTTGTGGCTTCTTGGTTTGGGAGCCGTTGAGAAAATATTTTTCATTGTCCACTCCATGGCATGGCCAAGAGCACCTTCTCCATTCAGCTGTTGAAGAGATTTTTCAATATGATTCCTCATTACATCTTTGCTGTTGTAGGCGATTAAACTGAACTCAACCTTTACTGGGCTCTTTCGATTCTTGGGCTTGAAACCTGGGGGAGCATGGCTCACCACTGCCACTCTATCACCTGTAGAAACAGCTCCTGGGTTAGAGGAAATGTCAAAGACATCAAGTGATCTGCTCAGGAAGTCTTTTACTTTCCCAAATTCAGCATTGCTCATTTTCTGGGAGCTGTCCAAAATGAAAGTCGCATCCACATAGGCCCGCCGTGAAAGGGCTCTTGGACGCTTGCAAAGGTCATCTGGTTTACATTTGTCTGTAAGTGAACATAACATTAGTTAGGGTTTCTCTTTTTAAGTAACAGTAGATGAGAACTGATGAACAAGTATCTGAACTCAAGTGGCATGATGTTTTGCACATTATAGTTCCCTATGCTATAACATAAATACTTCTAGTAATGTTCGGAATAATCTGTGGAAATTTAAGTCATGATTACAATCAGAAAACTATAAGGCAGTCCCCTGCAAGAGGGCCAAAATCCTAAGTCCCACAGAAGTTAAAAGGAATTGAATGTGCTGCATGATTCATAGAAGGGGCTCAGAAACTCACAATACTAGGTCTTATTACATTATAATTGCTTCCTCTTCTATTTACTCGTTTTGAGTCACTGGCGTTATCTGTGGCAATCTCTGCTTCAGAGTAGGCCTAAGATCCAGTGAAACAAATAAAAACACTACTGTTGACTTTAGTATGACTTGGACAAGGAACCTTAAAGGCTTTTTTATGATTACATTTAGAGGTCTCTAAAAGCAGCAGTGGGCTGGGACTGTGTCTGCCCCCAGCACAACTTTGCCTTCTGCATCCACCTCCATAGGCCTGGGCTTCTGGGGGCTGGCCAGGGTACTGACCAGGGCAGGCTGCCAAAGTATTTGCCCAGCAAGCTGCATTAAGGCACTTTAAGGTGTCCACGTGTAAACATTAGGGCTTCAGTCCTAATGTTCAGTGAAGCTTCAGTCCCTGATTTGATTTGGTGGAAATTCAGCCTGATTCGGTGCCAAATCTCCAAATCTAGATTGAATCAGAGGACCCTTTAATCTCTCTGAATCAAATCGGAACCCTCCAAATCAATTCGGAGAGATTCAGGGATTCAGACATAGAGACAGATTTAAATGTTTCTTCTACATATCTCTAGGTAGTAGAGGCTCATGAACACTGTGATGCTGGGGTGCATGGAGCGTCCCACAGAAACATGGGGGGCTCCCCAGCACAGCACCAGAAGCACTTCCGGTCCACTTCTGGGTCCAGTCCACTCTGGGGCCCCCCACACACTCCCCCAGCTTGGTGACTGGTGCCTCCTGGGTCGGGGGGGGGGCACCCAGGGTCCCCCTGTGGCCGATCACTGAGCCAGGGATGCGTGGGGAGAGGGGGGCACTGTACTCCTCGGTAGACCCAGAAGTGGGCCAGAAGTACTTCCGGTCCACTTCCAGGCTTGCTGACAAGCATGTGGAGAGCCCCCCCCCCGCGCTCCTGTGGGATGCTCCATGTGCCCCAGCATCGCAGCGATCACGAGTCATGCTTGCTACCTCAAGGTATGTAGAAAACACTTTTAAAGCTGTGTCTATATCCAAATCACTGATTCTCTGAATCAGAATCAAATCTTCAGATTCGGCCAAATCAAATTAGGGACAGTGATCCGAATCAATGAACCAAATCACTGTTCCTGATTTGGGCTGAATCCAAATTGAATAGGGCCCACTTCGCACATGCCTAGTAGACATGTGCCTAAATCACCTTAATGCGCCTTAGACTAAGGCGCATTCAGTTTTGGCACATATGGCATGTGTAGACACACATCATTGAGAAATATTTTACTGTACACCTGCTAAGTGTCGCAATTGGTTACAATAAAGCACTAGAATTGCACACTGCCTGTGAATGAGGATGCATTGTTTGAAGGGTCAGACATGCATTTCCAAAGGATAATCGCTAGATTGTTCTTGGCTGCAGTGGGGTGCACAAGAAGTCTCTTGAACATAGCTGCTTCAATTCATTCAGTGATGCTACAACGTGTCACAACATGGCTGCTCCACTCCTTTGGGTAAAATGAACATCATCCCTTGCCCTCATCCCTTCACAGAGCACAGTAAAGAGTGATGTGTTCTCCCAGGGCTTAAAGACCCCAGTCTTGCATGCTCTATGAATTTCTGGGCAGGATGGGATCCCTTAAGCCCTGAGAATGCCTGCCCAGCTTTCCCTGCTTACCCAGATGTATCCAGGGAGATCCTGGAGGTGGGTCTGGGTAAGTGGAGAAAGTCTAGGTTTCCCTGTTTACTCAGGCCTATCCCCAGAGATTCCAGGAGCAAGTCTGGGTGGGCAGGGAAATCCAGACTTTTTTTTGCTTACCCAGTCCCATTCCTGGGAACTCTTGGGGGGTAGGGGGGAGGTCTGGGTAAGCAGGGAAATCCCAGCTTTCCCTGCTTACTCAGATGGGTCCAGGAGACCCATCTGAGGACAAGTCTGGATAAGTGGGTCTCCAGTCAAGGTAAAAGGTACCAGGGATTCCTCAGGCCTCCATGCCAGGGAAAGTCTGCATTGGTCCTGCTTACAGAGACCATCCCAGGAAATCAAGCAGGGGGTCTCTAAGTGGGTCTCTAAGCAGGGAACCCCAACTTCCCTACTTATGGATTCCATAGGGCTCCTCTCTATAAGCAAGGAAAACCTGGGTAGGTGCTCTCAGGATCAAGAGGCCCTCAAGTCCCCAGAGCACCTGTGTGGGGTGGCTGGAGAGTGCAGGCAGCTCGGGCTGCTCTGCTCTCCCACCACAGAGCTAACAGATGTCTGCCACAATAAGGCACCAAAATCTATTGCTATCTTTTGTGGCACCACTGATTTTCCTTTGATGTGGTGTGACAAAAAAGGTAGTGATGTTTATTTGCTCAGGATTTGTGCCACCATAAAAGTTTTTATGGTGACACAAATGAGAGGTCAGGTGATGCTTGTTTCTACCTTTATACTCTACACATTTCAAGTGTAGAGCCTGGAATAGGGCAAGTAAAGGACATAACTGTGTCCTACTTCCCCTTCTTTCCAGCCTGAGAAGGCTAGCTGTATTAAGCAGAGCTGCCAGTTTTCAGAGTACTAAAAGCTTCTTTAGGGATGGTCTGTTATGTGGTTTAGGACACAGAAACACAAGGAAGGTGGCCGTGCAAGTCCTGTTTAATGTACTTAAATATTTGATTTCAGGATACAACATACTATGTTCCAAGCCGGGCAATGACTCAAATTCCCAAATGGTATATCAGGCACTGATCCCAGATTGAATACATTAAATCAGCCATTAAGAAGAAAATAGCTACTGTTGTTTAGCAATACAACAGATGAAGCTCTAGGAGGCTTTAGATACTAGCTTGCAATTCAGCATTTTCTCACAAGAAAATTTGGCAGTATTTACTAATGCAGATGATCAGTTCTCATAAATTGGCTAAAACATTGTATTCTTTTGAAAATTCACTATCCCATTTAGGAATTAAACAGTAGGATAAAAGAAAAAACCCAAAACAGCTAAGATTATCCAGCTGTGGTTGTTTATAACCCCAGGAAATCCCTCATTATTTTTGTTCCTGTTTTTCCTGATCTCTGTCAATTTCTTCATCACACAGAACTGAAATAGATATTGTTGCTTCTCTAATACACTTCTAGTAATGATCATCAGTAGAATATGAACTTTACCATAACAAAGAGTGCAGAGATGAAGTCCTTTTAAGAGTAGTTTATAATCTCCTTCAACAGGAATGTTTATTACATGAAACAATCCAGAATCATCCACCTAGAAACAACAAGTATAGGCTTTAATTGAGCATTTGTTACAAGACAAGTGGCAACTTCTTCTTTAAAGAATTATTTTGTTGTGTTTGTTTAACTGCATTCATCTGACTTGGAGGCCATTAATAGAACAGTGTACCATGGGTGGTTGGCATTTGAATCATGAAAACAAGACTGGTTTTAAGACTCATAAATGAACTTTTACCATACCACTTTCTAATATTAATGTGAAATTAGATTTGCTTCAGGTGTAAATGTAAAATTATGTTTACTTCAGGTGCAAGTCCACAAAAACACCTAATAAGTGAATAATATGTGGTCCTTAGTTCTCCAAAGATCAGAGGATTTAAAGGCAGTGTCCACTGGGGCTAGATACATATCCTGGCCGCCTCCTGCTCCCATGTGAAGGCACAAACAATTCAATGGCTGTGACCCTTGCAGAGTTCCCTTGGGCATCTGTAAACTCGCAATGCCTGAGGATAAGTAAGGTTACAGTAGGACGGGCAAACTCCGACCCACAAGCCAGATCCAGTTGGCTGTAGACTCCATTTCCCAGCCACCCCTGCCCTTGTGGCTTGGGCCAGTCTCCATAGAGACCCCAGCTGCATCTGCGCAGGAAAGCTCAGGCTGGGGTTGCCATGGAGACCAGCCTGCGCTACACTAGCAGCGCACATGGCAGAGCAGTGCAAGGGCCTGCTCTGGAGCAGGTGGGAACTTGGGATGGGGGCAGCTTGCTCCAGAGCCAGGGGTGCAGCTCTGCCAAGGGATCGTGATTCTGACCTAGCTCCAGACCTGGCTGTCACCGCTGCAAGGAGCCAGGACAGAGCCACAATCCTCTGCTTGCATGCCCCTGCCTGCAGCATGCAGGCTACAGATCATGGCTTTGCCCTGGCTCCAGAACAAGCTGCCCCCATCCCAAGTTCCCAATGGCTCCAGAGCAGCCCCTTGTGCTACTGCCCTGTGTGCTACCAGTGCAGCTCAGGCTGGTCTCCATGGCAACCCAAGCCTGAGCTTTCCCACACAGGTGCAGCTGGGGTCTCCATGGAGACTAGCCCAAGCCATTAGGGCAGGGGCACCTGGGTAATGGAGTCCGGCTGCTGGCTGGATCAGCCATTTTGACCTCCCCTGGGTTAGACGATGTATCATGGTATCTGCACAAAAAACAAATCTCAATGGAAAAATTACTGTAGGGTAATTATTCTTTGAATATGATCAACATGCATCCCACTCTAGGTGACTGGCCAGCAGCAAGATAATGGGAGTGAGGATTTTCAATTACGTCAGCTGAACACCAATTGTAGCTCTGCTCTCCCAAACTTCACATCTGTAGTACACAAGCCAGTCTGACTGCGTTAAGCTCAAACAATTTAGATAAAATCCCACATTTTCTGGGACCCATGCGCAGGGCACATAGTGTATTCATATTCAACATCCGTATGAGGGAGGGGGAAGAAAATAAAAACCCTCGTTTTGCATATTCTTGGGGTTTAGCCATTGATTCAGCTATTAGACTACATGAGGCAAGTCAACTTTTTTGCTAATCCAGGATCTCACTGGCAAGTAGATTGGTTTGAGCCAGTGTAGCCATGCATAGACCCGTGTAGCATGAACTATGGGTGACAAACAGCACTATAACTTGAATCAAACACATGCTATCCAAAGCATAACCAAACTGAAGGGAAAGTATGAATATCAGGCTTATCCACTTTCAGGGAACCCAAGTCAAAGCTACAGAAATGTGACTAAACAGCAAGCCAAGGGCCTGTATCCTAAATACTCAGTATTACATCTGTATCCTAAAACATTGATATTATGCTAATCAAATGCATTAACATTTATTTTGCTACAAAATATTTTTTCTAACATGTTCAAATGATTATAAACACAAGGCAATGTTGAGGATGAAAAGAGCAAAGCAGCCTTGTCAGGCTACAATTAGTAACGAATGCTTGTACATGGGATGATGTCATGATGTACATGTGATGAAAATTTCCCTTTGTGTGGCTTAATGACATCACACATTACACATACCTGCGTTTTGGGGGTTTTAAATGAGTTTACATCGTTGCAAACTGAACTACATCCTGATGTAGTTTAGTTTCCAACGTTCCAATTTGAAACATCGCAGCAATTAGTCAGCTCCCCACCTGGACATGGGAGAGGTGGGCAGGCTTCATGGAAAAAAAGGATTGGGTGCCTTGCCACTTCTGCCTTCAGCAGGCTCATGTGGCTGGCAGGATGCTTGGGGCCACCCGGGAAAGGGCTGGCTTGTCCCTGAGGCAGCACAGGAAGGGGGCAGGAGGGCAGCTGGGTTTGCTGGTGGCCAGAGACTATGGCAGGGACGATGCATGGGGTGCAGGGCTGCCCAGGGCCAGCTGGTTGGGTGATGCCCCAGCTCAGATGTGCCCAATCCAATGCTTCCCCAAGCCCATCTGGGCTTCCAGTGTCCCCTGCACCATCCCCGCCACATTCTCAGGCCATCAGCACACCCAGCTGCCCACCTGCCACATCCTCTGTGCTGCCCCAGGGGCAAGCTGGGTGTGCTGGCAGCCAGAGAAGGCAGTGGGGATCATACCTGGCGTGCTAGAAGCCTGGGCAGGCTTGGGGAAGCATTGAATTGGGCACCTCCAAGCTGGGGCAGCACCCAACCAGCTAGGAGCCCGCCCAGGCAGCCCTGTGTGGCATGCACCATCGCCATCGCCTTCTCCAGCTGTCAGCAAACCCAACTACCTTCCTGCTGCCTCCTTGCACTGCCCCAGGGGAAAGCCAGCCCATTCCCAGGCTGCCTCATGTATCCTGCTGGCTTCAGGAGCCTGCTGAAGGCAGAAGTGGCGAGAAGCCTGATGCTTTTTTGTCTTTCCCTCCTTAAAAATACATGCCAGAAAGCAATGCAGTGGGCCATATTTATCTAGGACAAAACTGAAGTATGTAGAGTTTTGCCAAAGATTAATCTGGCCACTGTTTTGCTTCAGAGATTTTGAAGATTTACTCTGGCACTCTTCCCAAATGTTGAAAAACATAACAAAATTGCTTATGTTTGTAGAAAAGGTAGAAAGAAAAAAGCACAAAGATTCAGTTGGGGAAAATGATAAAAAGACAAATGAGGAAAAGAAGCATATAAAAGTTTTATGAAAAAAAATCTTTGCAAAAAGCAGGTCTGACTACACCACAAGCCATACAAAAATTAGTAATTCAAGAAAAGGAATTGTTTTGGGTGAGAAGCAATTTGGTGTTGAGACACAAAGGTATGCAATGGTGTTGCAAAAATGCATCTAAAAATATAAATCAAGTCAGTAGGTGAAGCTGACAAAATACTAAATTGTTGCATTAAATAATTAGGTAAAGTATTTTATTGCATACGTAGAAACAGGGAAGAAAATGATCAGCTTTTAACATTCTAAAGTACATGCCCTGAATGTGCAAAAAGTGAACTTGTGAACATTATTCTTCCGACAGTCGTACTGAATGTTTCAGCCAAAATTCAAGTAATATGAACCAGGATTTAGATAGATGTAAGATAGAAACCTGCCTCAACTATCGGTCCCCCTTTCTTTTTTTTCATGTACCTCTCACTTCTTTTAAAAATTATTTCCCAATAACCAAAATATGTATTTTATACTTATTCTTGTTTATATGCAACTGTTTAATGGATTTTCCTTAATAGTATCTTCATTGCTAGTTGTGTACTTGGATTCTAGCCCTTCTCCTTAGTGAGAGGTTACATGATTTCCATTACCCATAATGGATAAAATGCTATAGATCATGTAGAATCATATGATGGCAAAGAAAAGAACAGCTAACATTGAAATCCCCACTGACATTTTTATTTCTAGCATATAATATTGCAAGAAACATCTTTTCAATAACTGTATGGTAGGACAGCCTAAATGAATACCCTCCATGTTGTGCTAGGGTTTGAGTGTTCCTGTATCATCATGACTACAAGAAATGTAAAGAGGCAAGTTTTTTGTGATTTTTTTTTTTATTGGAGCAAGTGTACAATTGGGAGACAGGTTGGTGATGAGAAGGACAGCATTTTGTACCTGAAAGCTTGTCCAATATCCCTCCTAAGTGTACAGTTGGTCCAATAAAATAAATAAATAAAATTACAAACCAAACCCTTACCTCTTATAAAATGAATTAGTACATAAGGCACTATGAATGCATGGAATAAGGGGTCAAAGCCTGCTTGCTTTACAAATGCAAGTAGCTCCACTGACATCATTGTGACTATTTATATCTGGGGGAAGGAAAGAGTTGAGCTGGGCTCCCCACACAGTCAGTAGAGGGGAATTTCACTGTGCCCATGGAGAGAGGGAGCTGGAGCACAACCTGCAACCCCTACATCTATGGCATGCACTGTGCGAGGCCCCCAGTTGCCCAGAAGTTGGGCAGGGCTCTGGAAAGCCAACCCCTCTCTGCCTGGAGGATTAAGTAATATATTACAGAGGAATACAAGGTGTCAAGTAAATCTGTTCTTGGGGGAATCAAAGCACATTTCAAAAGATCTACAGCAACTTTCAAGGGCCAAAAGAGCCTGTACACAATTATCCATTAAACACTTATTATATAGTCTACAATGGATTTCTTATCATGTGTAGAAACCTCTTTTGGCAGGCTCTAGTATGATCTTTCAACAATTAGGCTAAAAGAAGGGAGGTTTCCATTTCTCACTCCACTTCTTTATTCCTCCCTTCTTTTCTTTGCTGTTCATTACTTCCCAGTTGTGGCAGAATTGTGAAGACACAGGGTGCATCTTTGTGTGCAACTGCCGTGACAAACTCTGGCACAGTTTGCACTGGAGTCAGTTGCTCTTGCTGTTTACATGTGCGCCCAGCACCACAGTAATTTGAGCCAGACTCCGGGTGGTAGCAGTGGATTGTGGAGGGGCTGGCTGAGGCAGAAGGGTGCTACAGTGTGGGGCTAGCCAACAGGCAGCCCCAGCAAGCCCCAGTTACTGTGTACACATGTGTTGTGGCAGTGTAAATTATTCTGCCATAAGTTACTACTTGTCCTGGACAGTACTATCCAAGGACCGAGTTCATTAATTTACTACACCCTAGTATGGGTGCACATATAGATGGTGATGCTTTACTGATGAGCTAGTTAGTCAACTTGCAATAAAGTACACCTCTGGATGTAACCTCTAGGAGGTAGAAAAGGAAAATTTCTTACGCCGTGGGAGATGCTTTTTTGCACAGTAGATTAACCTACCGCACGAGATGCTTTTTTGCACAGTAGACTAATCTACTGCACAGTAAAGCCTCACCGTCTGCACATGCATGGCATTTACAGCCCAATAAATTAGTCAACTGTGCAATTAGCTAGTACTTGTAAATACAGGTACTAGATTAACTGTGCAGTAGCATTTGTGTTGACACTGACTGGGAGCAAATTTGCAGGAATCCCCACCCAGTTGGGGCCTTGCCAGCTGCTGCCCCAAAGTGAGACAACTCCTGGGGAGCCCCCTGCTGCATGAGGAAGCCCTGCTGGGCATGGGGTCACTGGCAGCTATATGTCCTGATGTACATAGGACTGAGAGAGCTCTGCCAGCTGCAGTAGCAGCTGTCTCCCAACCCCAGCCATATCAGGACCCCTTCCAATATGCATGGGGCAGGGAAACAGCTGCTGCTACAGCCAGCAGAACTCTCCTGGCCCCGTGCTGCTTGCCAGCCCCCAAGCTAGCACCCTGGGGGATCCTGGAACTCCCAACGGCTGCTGCAGGGGGGCAGAGAAGGGCAGGAGCAATGCTATACTAGACTGCGGCCACTTAGTGCAGATTTGCTCCCAACAGGATGCATGTGTACACATGCTCCTGGGGAAGCCTTACTGTGCAATAATTTACTGAGCAGCAAACCTATATCACTTCAATAGCACGTGTATACCAGTCCAGTGATATCTTTTCTACAACATCCACTACAATTCTATCTTCCCCGGACAGCTTCTTGGTTGAGGGGAAAATGCAGTTTTTATGTCTGTAGTCTGTGGGCCAATCTGTATAACCTACCATGCAGTTTACCATTTGGCACAAAAGTTATTTTACTAGGCAAATCCTAAGAGCTTAAAAGCTTTTGAATGAACCATCTGGTAACAAGTCAGAGGAGGAGGTAATACCAGCAGGTACTGGTATTACAGGTATGAACTATCTCCAGAAATTGCAGACTGGATGGGAATAGCTCATACCTATCAGAATTGTGGGAGATGCTGCTAATGGAAAGGAAGTTTGGAGGTAAGATGTTTTCAATTTTTTTTAGCATATATATATATATATATATATATATTTTTTACAGTGAATTCTGTCTTAAGTCTTGCAAAATTAAAATTGAATCCAGAATCTTTTACTCATTCAAATAAGCAATCTTATAAATAGTTCCACTAGCTCCAGTATAACCATTAGTATCAGTGAAGGCCACTCATGTGCTGGCTTGCAAGATTTGGATCCATGTTTGGATGCAAAATGAATCACTGAACTAAACAGAATTACATCCAGGATGAAACCAACCTCGCATGTTTTAAAGTCTTTCTTTCCATGGCATTGTTATTTAATATAAAGAAGAAAATATTCATGGATTTCTTACCGCAAACGCACGATTGATGCTAGGTAGATCCTGAAATGCAATAACTGTTGCAGCAACATCTAGCGCACTCAACTCCAGAACTGCTGTGTTAATGGCAGATGCATCTGCAGACGGCCCATTGCTGAAAAACACTGCTATTTTTCTCACATTAGGACCTTGGAGGGTTCGCTTGAAAACATTCCTGGCAACAAATCTCATAGCACTGCCAATATCCCGTCCACCTGAGGATCTCTGATAATCCAGATTTTTCAGTTCATTAAGAAGCTGTTTCTTGCTGTAGACCTCCGAGAAGCGGATCAGGTAGTCGGCATGCAAATTATAGGACAGAACAGCAACTCTGGCTCCAACTGGGCAGTTGCTGTCTCTGATTTTCAGGTCATTCACTATTGATATTACTATGTCTTTCATTCTTTGGAATATCTGAGGGCTGACATCCTGGGATAAGTCTAAAGCAAATGCCAATTCTGTCGGATATACTGGGCATTCCCGTTTTCCTAGAATACAAAAAACTTTTCATGCAAGCAACTGTGGAAAAGCACAAGTTCTCTGATCATTTTTAATGCTTTTATTTGACTTATTCTGGACCTATGATATGACATATTTACAACATAAAAATCACAATACATGAAGTACTAAAAAGGTAAATTGTGGCTTACAACTGAGCAGATGGCTCACCAGACAGGCAGGGTATAGAAAGCCAGCCAACTTTTGTGTGGAAGTTAGACATACTAATAATTTAAATACCTAGCTCTTCTATACTGCTTTTCATCAGCATATCTGACACTCTTGGTAAATGGGGAATCCCCATTAATTTTCATTTGGGGAAACTGAGGCCCAGAGAAGCTAAGTGCTTGCTCAACATCCCAGCTGGTTAATATCAGAGCCAGGAAAAGACCCCCTGTCTCGTGCTATACACATTTGACCATGCTGCCCCCATGGGGCATTAGGGGAGTATCTCACAGCAAGGTGGGAAAGGACAGGACCAAACCACTGCCTTCCTATATCATGTTTGCTTGAAAAACTAACTAGTCACAGAAAGAAGAGTATAGCAGGCTCTTCGTGGCTGCCCAAAGGCTCTAGAAGAGTTGTTTGGCTGAGGTACAATCCTTGGATTTCTCCTTGTGGCAATGCACCTCTGCCTTATCCTTTGTGCAGAGCTGTGATAATCAGGCATGAGTGAGACAACTAGAATTACATAATATTACATACAGGAGCATAGCTGTTCTTTGGAAATATACACGGTACTTCCACAGTGAAACAAATTCCACTGTTTCATATGACTATAATTCAAAGTAATCAAAATAGTATCAACAGCAGTAATCATACTGTGACAATCCCAGTGAAAACAGGAAGGAAACTGTAGTCTAAGATGACAGTACATAGCCACAGTATAGGCCACAGAAATTTGTTAGTGTATGTTAATTAATAGCTAAACAAAGTAATGGGAAAGTATGAGATGCTAAGAAAAGAGGAACATGAGAATCATTAATCCATTGCCAACAGGCAAAAAGGAAATTTTGCTGTAATGGAGAGTTAGTTAACTAAAGAAAAATGCAGCTCCTTTGTTTCAAGTATCTTGCTTGCTGTATTTAAATAATTGTGTCAGGACTGTTTTGGAGTGGAATACACCAGATACTCAGGGAGGATAAGCCATAATGGAAAGAGAATGGTTAAGAATGCAGCAGCAAATAGGGAGGGAAAAGACAAATAGATTAATAAGAGTGAGATGGAGATTTGGCAGTAAAATGTAAAGTAGCAGGATGAGCACAAGCAACTGAAGATAAAAATAGATAGGAAGGAAGGGCTCAAGATAGAAAAAGAAAAAAACAAAATCAGTAAATACGTTTCATCTGCAAGCCAGGCAACTTGGGAATGATAAGGGTCAGGACCCTATCTGTCTACATTCCTCAGACAGGGGGAAAAAAAGGAATGAAGTCCAGAAAATAAATACAGAAATTAAATAAGGCAGAAAGAGAAAAAAAAGAACAAAAGATGGGAAGGAATGGAATACGGTGGAAGAACATACTGTGTTAGTATTGGAAATAACAGTCCAGAGCCTGGCCATAGAGGACGTTACTAGTGCCAGAAACCAAAATGGAGGTCAAAGGTTGGGGAGGCTAATAAACCAAGAAGAAAGAAAGAAAAGAAATATGCAAGAGAAGGCCATGGGGACTATAGTTAGATAATAGATATCCATGACAGAACCTCTGGAGCTGGGAAACTCTTCACTTAGTTTACTTCCCATCCTGTCCAATACCAAATGAATTCACTCAAGGATATTAACACTATGACAAAACCATTGCTTTGATAAAACAATACTGGTTTCCTGCTCCATTTATTAGGAGGGAGTGCAGTTTGGGGAGTGAAAAACTGTTTCTTTACACATCAACCCCTCTCTTGCCAACAAAGGAACAGCACTAGAACCGTTACATGAGCCAGGTGTCCCCGCAAGACACATCAGTACTCTGACTGTGACCTAGGTCTCCTTGTCATGTGCAGAAATACTACAAGCAACTACTCTGGATATTTACAGGGCTGTGGGATACAATCACAGAATCAGAAAATTAGGGTTGGAAGGGACCTCAGGAGGTCATCTACTCCAACCCCTGCTCAAAGCAGGACCAGAGCCAGACATGGAGCCAAACATGGCAGCTTTATTTTGCCATTTGCCACCCAAGAATTCCTCCTTGCCAAGGGAGACCCTCAGCTGTTTGAATGAAATCCATTTTGCACCTGAGAGAACAAGTATCTGGCCTTTGAAACTGCGCAGATAAGCTTCAGGAGTTGACCCCAAATCCCGAAATGCTGAGGCAAAGAAGGATGAAAGTATTCTTTAAAACATGCATCAATGAAGCATGGTGCAAGGAAATTTATCAGAGGAAAAAAAAAAGCAAGTTTACTCCTTTATGTAAAAAAAAATGGTTTTACAGACAGGGCCATAAAAAGAAGGTCTAAAGGAAGGTTAAAATACAACATTAAGAGAAGCTAAATGGATGTTGCTGGGAAAACAGTATTTCTTTTATGAAAAGAAAGGGAAAAGATAAGAATGACCCAACAGGGACTATTAGCCAGGTCTTTGGGAGCCTCTGCTTCAGTTCCATGCTTTGCCACAGGAACCCTTGGAGAAGTGACTTAATCTGGCTGTTGTCGGTCTATTCGTAGACATGCTGTTATTTGAACACAAGTTTGCTTGACTCCTTTGCGGCCTAAAACTCCAAAGCAAAACCTGTACTTACCTTGCAAGATCTTCTCCTAGTCAGTCTTATAAACGAACAACACCTTTTAATATTCATGTTGAAAATAAACTAGTAGTTAACAGTACTTACCACTCCAACAAACTAAACAAAAAGGAAAAATATAGTTATTATAAGAGGCAATAGATTATAGTATAACTATAAAATATAGTCATTACAAACTCCTAATGCAAGGTGAAATCTTGGCATCTTTGACATCATTGAGAAAATTGAAACCTACTTAAGTGGGTCCAAGATTTCGTTCCCAGTCCCAAGATATCTTAATACAAAAATTTTTAGTGAGAGTTTGGGCACATTTTTACTGCCATACTTCAGCACCTAACTCTCATGAGTTTCAATGGATATGCTAGGTACACCAAGAATGCAGGACCTGGATTTTATTTTGGATTCTATGCTTTTTACTTTAGGTTTTCGTCACATTTTTGAGCAAGACAAACCTCTGAGCTGATACTATCCAAACACACTGCCTTTTACAACAACAAAATATCAGATTTGAGTTTTCTAGGGAAGCTGGGGAAATATGACTTCAAAATATTAATAAAGTGTTACAGTTTTGATGATAAAAATCAAAGCAAGATTCAGTACTTACGGCTATTTTTGCGCACATATTCAATGAGTTCACATGGCTGCAGAGCAAATGCAAAAAGGAAATGAATAAATTGTTAGCCAAAGAATTGGTTTATTTCTATGCAGAATATGAGAAGGATACATACAGAAAATGAAGCTGGGCCTTTTTCTCCGATAGCACCCTAGAAGAAACAGAAAGCAATTACTAGATAAATAATGTAAATACAAGCTTTCTTGATGGCAAAATATAAGCAGGAGGATCCATTAGATAAATCAGCTATAGAGTATGATGGATTGTATTGCATAAAAATATATTTTAAGGAGAATTACACATTTGAAGTATTTAAATTTTCTATGCTAGAAATGTCAGATCCTCATAGTTGTTGCTGGAGTTTATTGATTTCTTCCCTCAGTAAAAGAAAAAAAATACGCTTTTTCCTTCCAAATTATATATGGCTTTAACATCTTGAATTTTTGCTTTAAGGTTTTGCAAATTTTTAGGTACAAATACTACAATTGTGCTCTTATTTTTACATTGTAAGCTATGTGAGACATACAAATACATTTAAATAACTGGTGTAAGTTTCAATGAAAATTTTGAGTGAGAAGAAAACATCTACAGTGAAGTCCTGACCTGGAAAGTGGGCACGTCTACACAAGATGTTTACTGCGCATTAGCCTAATAAACCTGCACAGTAGCGTAGCATTTAAAAACCATGCTAATAGCCTACTGCATAGTTTTATTAGGCTAATGCGCAGTAGGTGTCACAAGATAACCAAGTGCTGGTGCTACTGCTTAGTAGTTGTAGTTACTGCACATTTAGTTAATACTTCATTAAGCAAGTACTAAACTAAATGCACAGTAACTAAGGTGCATTAATGAACATGTAGATGTGCCCAATGAGTGAAAATGATGGCATACTATTGACCAATCTGTTCCTTCTGGATAATCAAAGTCAAATCTATTTGGTTTTAATGGCAAAAGTAGGTTTCTACTGCTTTTTACAGCAATTGTTACTGCAGAGACTAAACTGCCAAGAGAAGGTGAGCTGGATAATGTCCCATTCGAAACAGTTCCTCCCTATTTTTGAAACCTTAACTGTCAAGGAAAAGGCTAGTCTTGACAACTTGTTATCTTTGGAAAACAAATTGTAAGCCTCTGTATCCGTGTATGACACTACCTTGAAGAGAATCAGTGAGACTAGATATAGGAATTAAGTCTCAATAAAGCTTCTAAGCAGAATGAAATCACAATTCACATTTAGAGCTCTCTCTCAGATTATATCACAATCCTAAAACACCCATAAACCATAATGGGAAGTTCAAATGTGGACAGACAAATTTCAAAACCAGATATTTATTCCTTAAAAAACAAAAAGAAAAGAATAGAAAATCAGCCTATATAGTACCACATGGCAGTATTGTTCTTTGCAGCTCTGTCTGCAGAAGTTCAAGTGCAGAGTGCAGTCCTTGATTTGCTGGCACAATTAACGCTAGGAGGATCCAGGCAACTATAGGCCAGTCAGTCTCACCTCCATCCTTGGCAAAGTCTTTGAAAAGATTATTAAGGCTCATATATGTGAGAGCCCAGCAGGAAAAATTATGCTGAGGGGAAACCAGCATGGGATCGTAGCAGGTAGATCATGCCTGACTAATCTAGTTTCTTTTTATGACCAGGTTACAAAACACCTGGACGCAGGAGTAGGGATAGACATTGTTTACTTAGACTTCAGAAAGGCCTTCAATATGGTATCGCACCCCATACCAGTGAACAAATTAAGAGGCTGTGACTTGGATGATTACACAGTCCGGCGGGTGGCAAATTGGCTAGAGGGTTGTACCCAGAGAGTGGTGGTGGATGGGTCGGTATCGACCTGGAAGGGTGTGGGCAGTGGGGTCCCGCAGGGCT